ACATAGAGTTTTCTTAAAATTCCAATAGCTCCATTCCCAGATTTCCAAAATCTAACCAGTGTAAGCAGAAAAGATCAAGTTAGTCAGATTTGGCTGGAGAAATAACACAGGATTGTTACGATCTTAAGGAACTGCAAAAATCTGTTACTAAAATTCTCCTTTGCAGCTGCTACAATGCTAGAAAATTCCTGATGGTTTGTCTGCAAATGTTGTATAATTTTCTAAATGCATTTTTAGATTTAGAAAATATTTCAGCTGCCCACTTTAAAGATCCGGGTGACTTGGCCCATGTGGCGACAGGGAGGGATCTGCATGCCTTCTGTGACACATGTACCATAAAACTGCCACCACTGGCTCAGGCAGTGGTCTGGGGAAGATCAGAGAACCTGAAGTATTGCAGGCAAACACTGGGGGAGAATAGAAAATTAAGAGCACCTGAAAAAAACTTTCTAACTGAGAAATTACATGTATAAACTCAGAGAAATGCATTCCAGAGATTTGAGATGCTCTCACAATCTGTAATTGGGCTAACTGGTTAAGGTGTATAAATACGTTTTTTTCAACTGTCCACGTCCCAGAAAAAAGTGAGAAGACATATGAAGAAACAGGAAAATGTGGCTAAAGGACTCAAATAAAGCTATAGAAATGGATCCTAAAAAAAAAAAAAAAATATATATATATATATATATATATACATATATGTATATATATATATATATATGTAGTCACCTGAAAGAATTGAAAAAAATTATCTTAAAGGAACTCAAATAAGCTATAAAAGGTCAGAGATAACTAAAGGAAATCAGAATATAACAGTTCATGAATAAAATGAGAATATTAATGTAGGCACAGAAATTATAAAAAAGAACTAAACAAATTTTAGAATTGAAAACTATAGTAACTAAAGTGAAATTTTTACTAGAGGAGTTCAACAGTAGATTTTATTAAGCAAAAGGCTCAGTAAAATCAAAGACAAGTAATTTAATATTACCAAGACAGAGGAACAAAAAAGAAAAATGAATGAATAAAAGTCAAGAAACCTTAAGATAATTATAGAAAACTATCAGACAAATAGATGTATCAAACTCCCAGAAGAAAAGAAATAAATAATGCCCTAAATTTCCAAAATCTGAAAAGAAAATGGACATTCAAATTGAAGAATGCCCACAGGACTTTAAGTAGGTCTGAACATGGCCTCTCATAGTCAGTCAAAAGTGAAAGTCTGTGCATACCTGTAATCCCAATATTCAGGAGGCTGAGTCAGCAGGACCGCTGTGAGTTTGAGGCCAGTCTAGGCTACACAGCGAGTTTAAGGACAGACTCAACTACATAGTGAATAGTCTCAAAAAACAAAACAAAATGAAACAAAAGTGAGAGTCAAAGAAAGAATTTTGAAAGCAACAAAAGAAAAGCAACTCATCACATACACAATTCTGTGAGAGTATCTGTAGATTTCTCAATAGAAAACCTTACAGACCAAAAAGCAATGTATGATGTGAGGACTTCATCAAAATTAAAACCTTCTGGGCCGGGAGTGTAGTTAAATAATAGAGTCTTTACCTAGTTCGCACAAGCCTTTTGATTTGATCCTCAGCACTACAGAAACAAAGAAACAAATGAATAAAATCTTTTGTGGTTCAAAGTGAAGTAGGACAGAAGAGATAACAGGTAGGTAGAAAGGAGACAAGGAAATTATATCTTAAAAATTAAACTTTTAAGAAGACTTCTGAGTCTTAGCCACTATTACCCAAGATGACTCATATCAGATTTCCTTTGGTTAAATTTAGACTCCAGACCCTTCACACTCAAAACTCCTCAGGAATACTGTAAGTCTGTAAATTGGCTTAATTGAGAAAGAGCAGGAATCTAATCCTAAGATAAAGGAACAGGTTGAGAGAATTCAAAAAATGCTTAAATTATCTTAAAAAAAAAACAAACACCTGAGCTCATAGCTGAAAAATAGGCTAATGCCCATCTCAGGGGATGGGCTATCATTTCCCAGCATTTCGACCCCTTAAAGAGAAGGATAAATGTTGTTCCCTCTCCCAGGAAATAACGTGCCTCTCTCTCTCAAGGGCTTGCACCAAACTTCTCAGAGTATGTCCCCAAATTTTTTTTTCCTTTATGGGAGTCAGCAAACCTGTGAGCCCATTCTTATTTAGGGTGGGTGAGATTTCTTATCTCAGCTTCAGGAATCTCCTCAGATTCTGTCTAGTGACATTTTCCACTGACAAAAGGATAACATCAAGAAAGTGAAGATAACCATAGGATGGGAGAAAATTTGAAAATCATGTATCTGATAAGGCACTTGTATCCAGAATATGTACAAAACTCTTACAATGCAACAAGAGAAAGATAAGCCACCCAGTTTAAAAGTGGGCACAGTGAGGTTTTTCAATTTGGCAGTTCCCAAAAAAGTTAAATAAGGACTTATCATATGGTCCAGCAATTTCTCTCCAAGTCTATATCCAAAAGAAAGGAAAACATCCATCAACACAAAAACTTTTACATGAAGGTGCATAGCAGAGTTATTCTTAACATCACAATGGTAGAAGCAACACACATGTCCATCAATTGATAGATACATAGGAAAACTGCAGCATCCAGTAGAATATTATTCAGCTATAAACACACCTTAATATTATACTAAGTACAAGAAAACAGGCACAAAAAACCATACTGTATGATTGCATTTATATGAAATATTCATAAAAGGCAAGTCCCTAGAGACAAAAAGTAAATTAATGGGTAACAGTGCCTAGGAGAGGGAGAAATGGGAAAGGAACTCTACTAGTAAACATTGGGATTTTGGGGGGGGTAGTGAAAATGTTATGGAATTAGGTAGTGGTGATAGTTGCACAAGTTTGTGAAAATACTAGTGACTTGCACACCTTAAACTGTAAAAAAAAAATTTTTTTTGACAGGGTCTCACTATATATTCCTGGCTGTCCTTGAACTCACCATAGTGTGTAGCCCAGGCTGGCCTTGAACTTTTCCTGCCTCAGCCTCCCAAGTGCTGGAATTATAGGCATGTTCCCTATGCCCAGCTAAAGTGGTAAATGTTATGCACATAACAATAAAATACATATAAAAAGGAAGACTTTGAGTATGTACACCAGAATAAAAAAAAAACACAGAAAAAGATAATGGTTTCACAGGATTAATGAATAAAACAATAAAATGGTTGACAGAAACAAGAGCTGCAATGTTTCTTTTTAGAAATCAATCCTGTTTTGCATAATTTTTAACATATCCCAGTTAATCACTTGGTTAGTATTTAGAAGTTTTCCAGTGATGTAAGTATTCTTTCAACATGTATTTACTAAGCATGTCTGGCATCTACATATTCTTCAACAAAAAAGTGGTGTTGTCTACAAGTTATTGAAAGTAGAGATACTCCCAGTGTCTTTTAAGAAGTAACATTTTCTGTGATTGAGGTTATCATAGTCCTTTGCACCTTTAAAAATGCAGCTTCCACAGAAATCTGCCTTCCTGGGAACAGGATAGTTTCCATATAAGTTCCTGCAAACCTGTAAATGATGCCCTCTTGCAATTCTTTTTTTCCCTTCCATTTTCAAAGCTATGTAGCTAATTTTTCTATGATGTCTTACACTTTCCAGCTATTTAACCTTCCTCTTGATAGGAAGGAAATTGGTTTTTGTTTGGTTCTTTAGTTAGAAGAGATGTTAGAAAAATCTTGCTTCATATTTCTTGTAGTACAGTGTTCAGTTTATGATAAAAATTCTATGTCTTAAATTAGGGACCTTCTCAATCAGAGATCATTAATATTGGTAGATTTAATCATTTGGTTAGTAGAAATTAAAGAAAGAAAAATGCTTCTCATGGAGCTGAAGCTGCAGTACGGTCTCAGAGGAGTTCTAAACCATTTTTGATAACTGTCATTTTTCTAAGCACTAAGAAAATGTACAAAATAAAGGTCTTAAAATATGGGTGGTCAGTCAGTAGTTGGGTGAATTTTGAGCATATTGCCTTAGATCTCTGTTCCAAGTAGAAATGATGGAAAACCAGTTTAAAATCTATTTCTTTTGAACTTCTTCTGTTAAGTGATAATCATGAAGAGGGATAATATCACTTTACACATCATCAAAACTACATATTCAGGACACAGACTGAGGAGCCAAACAACATTTCTATGTTTGAGAATTCAGTATCTCCCTGACATCATTTCTTAAACTGGGCACTTGAACGGGCAGCAGCCTGTCACTTACAGCCTCTCTCATTTCCTGTTTCGGTTCATTAAACCTTAGGCTTTCCCAGAAGCAACAACCTACATGGAGATCTTCTGCCAGTTAGGGAAGATCAATCTGAAGGAGGCAGAAATTGACATGCAACTTTGAGGAAGTATGAAGGCCACAATAAATTGCTACCTCCACAGGGAATTTTATTTTGTAGGTTGACAGTGTGTGGGCAGAAGCAGCACTAGTTTATGTTAAGATCTCATAGTTGGGAGCTTATTTCATATTGACTGGATTCTCTTTGGCTGCCAAAGGATAGATAAATTTCAGAGGCTATCTCAGGTTGGCAACTCTTTGTCTTTGCCTTTTTCTCTTAAATATACCCTAAAGAAGTTAACAATACAATCAGTTGACATATACAGGCCTGATTCAAAACTTCAGTTCTCTAAATGGTTTTACTTCTTTTTCTCTGATTTGTGATCAGAATCATGAAAAAAATTAAACATATGAACCAAGCTATACCACTGTATTTAAAATTCTAGGACTTCAGAATTACATTCATAAATACCCCGGGCCAGCATAGTGGCACATACCTGTAATCCCAGCACTTGGGAGGCTGAGGCAAGAGGATTGCCATGAGATTGAGACCAACCTGGGCTACATAGTAAGTTCAAGGCCAGCCTGAATTACCAAGTGAGATCTTGTTTCTAAAAACAGAACAAAATGCAAAACCCAAAACCAAACAAACAAAATAAACCTAAAATCAACCAAAACAAAACAAAACACAGCTATAAATACACTTACCCCCCAAATCACATGGCTTCTTGTGTGAGGCAGTTTTCTATCTCTATGACCATAATACCTGAAAGAGACAACTTATAAGGGAGGAAAGATTTAGCTTTAGGTCACACTTTCAAAGGTTATCAGTCCATTATTGATTGGCTCCATTATTTTTGGGGCCATGGAAAGGAAGGGTGTGCTTGGTGGAGCAAACCTGCTCACTTCATCACAGCTAGGCAGCAAAGAAAGACAGACACTGGGGTTCCAGTATCTCCTTAAAGGGGACTCCCCTTCCCAGTGACCTAATTTCTTCCCACTAGCTCCTACCTTCTGAAGGTTCTACCATTCCCAATAGCATTACAAGCTGACAACCAAGTTCAGCATTCAGGCCTTTTAGGGGGACAATTAAGATTCCAAACCATAACACCATAACACTATGACATGCCCCAATGGCAATCAGAACAAATCACTATTCTAACAAGAGAAGAGAGGACATAAAATAATTCAACTGAGCTGAAAGAGCTACATGAGGAAGGAAACAGAGATGGAAGGGAATCTCTACTCAGATCTCTTTTTTTTACCATGAGAGAGGCATTTGGAATTTGGAACTGCAACGGTAACTTTGAGCTTTCAGAAATGTCTTGCTGCCAGGAGTGGGGAGAAAGTCTTTTACACCTCCTTTTCTTTCCTATTCTAAAGTGCTGAGCAAAAGGTCTGCTTATATTGGTTTGAAGTAGCCTAACCATTGCCTAAGAACATAAAGGAAATTCTCCACACATACTTTCTTCCAAAAATGCCACTTCCTTTGTGAAGCTATATTGGTTCCCTATTCAGAATGTATAGCTTTCTTTTGCAGCCTCTATCATATAGTTTCTATTTCCATTAATGTTTTCAAACTACTAAGTTAGTAATGTGTTTCCAGGTCTCCTCTTGCTAATTCATAAACTTCCACAGGGATTAAGTCATTATCTCTCTGATTCTCAAATGGTAGATGAATGCATAAATATGGCATTGTCAGCTTCTTGATGGCTGGAGGTTATGAGGAGTTTAGGAGTTCTAATAAGAGTTGAAAGCAAGTAGGATAAACATACCACCTTTTTATTTAGCCATTCTCCACACCCCAATCTCTTTTTTCTCTATTTGGTATTATGATACGCTTACAGATGACATTCTTGGAATGAATTTTATATTCAATATATCTGTTTTGACATCCTTCAAATATACCATGTTTGGAGAACATTTCCAAGGTTAAACTGAATTTGAAGGACAAACTTCCAGTTAGTGTAAGTAGACAACAGTAGTTCTGCTTTCTGTGATATAGTATTGTCACCAGATGTCTCAGAAAATCTCCAAGATTCTAAAAACTGAGAGTGCTACTCCACAAGATTCTACTGAGATGCTGCCTCTACAAAGCAATTAAGAAGAGTAAGAAGGGCAAGAATAATGACCCAGACCTGTAATCTCAGCTCCAGGAGGCTAAGGCAAAAGATCACAAGTTCGAATCTATCTTGGGCAACTTAGTGACTTAGCAAGACTTTGTCTTAGTATATGTTGTAGTTAAGGGTTGTACAGAGAACAATTAGAATCAGGACATGGAATTTATGATATTATTTTTATAATGATCACCGGAAAGTAACACAAGAAAATGCAGGAAATCTATGTGCAACACCAAAGACAGAATATTTAGTCAAGGGCCTAAATCCCATAGCAATGTCCCACATGAGTCCAGATAAAAACCCAGAGCTTATGACAATGCCTCCCACAAGTCCAACTGGAGGTCCAGAGCCCATGAGAAGGACTCTTTTACGGATCTATGCTGGGAAGGCCCAAAGGTCAGCGGTGGAAGCCAGAAAGTCCATGCCAGTGGGGTGAAGGAGTTGTGCTGTGGGATGAGGGTTCTATGCTGGAGCCGAGAAGTCACACTTACAAAAGACCAGGGCTGTCCTGAAGGCACCACAGCCATCCTCAGCGACACAGAGGTCCTGAGCTCCTCCAAGAACAAGCACAGTCTGGCACATGCCAGGAAGTCAGTGTGACCAGTTCATCCTGGAGACCAAGCGCCACATGTCTTCCCCTCCAGAGTTAGGAAGCAATGCTCGATGAGGGGAACAAAGCTTCTCCAGGAGAATCTAACGGCTCAAACAGCAAGTTGCAAGTCGTAGTAGAATTCATAATGCCTCAGTGCAACAACGCATTAACACCCCAATGTCTCGATACCTCCCTTCTCCACCTATTTATCCTGGCAACTTTCCTCAGGTGGTGCATCTTCGCTCAATGCCATGCTGATGTAATCCAGCTGGTGTTAAATTGACCCTAATCCATAACAGTATAAAAATTTTTTTTAAAGGAGAGGGCTGAGGAGGTGTTCCTCAGTGCAAAGGCCCTAGGTTCTGTCCCATTTTCTGGGGGGAAAAAGCAAAACGAAGGGCTGGGGGTTTAGCTCAGCAGCAAAAGCATCTTCCTGTCAAGCATGAGGTTGTGAGTTCAATCCCTGGTACCAAAAAGGAAAAGAAAAAAGGAACACAAAATTCCCTTTAATTGAAATGGATAAATGGTCATTAGCATTCAAAGAATAAGCATCTATTTAGAGACTCATTAATGAGGAATGATGAAATGTTTTAAGTACACAGCATCAAATGACACAGAGAAAGGTTTCTAAAGAGAAAGGTTAAATTTGGCCAGTGAAACTCATCTCTAGTAAGATTTTCCCCTCCTTGCCTCTTTACCTGTGTCATATGTTATTTTAATTCTGGATATAATGTTTGTAAAACTCTACCGGAGAATTTTGACCTTTTATAAAGCTGGAACTGTCTAAATAATGATCAATTTCTAGGACAATGCACATTTCCTTCTTCCAAAACAAAGATACTTTGCTTTGACAAGGACAATGTCTAGTATCTGAAAAGAAAAACGAGGAGGAAGGAAAGGAGGAAAAGGAAGAATAGGAAGAGGAGGAGAAAAAAAAGAGGAGAAAGCAGCAGCAGTAGCAAAACAATTGTTTCAATTTCATATAGAACCTTTGAGTTCATTAGACCATTATCCCCAGGGATGGATTTAATCATTGAGTACAAGCTCAAAGCCTTTTAGTTGACAAGAAGCAAGTCTTTGGCTTGGGATTTCTATGTTTGAGTTGTAAATCGGGTTCACAGAAAAGTAATCAGGAAATAGCTTGGCTGGAGACAAGAAAGAGCCTTGAGATGAGAAATATGAGACCATGGATTGTGCTTGTGACTTAGTCTCTTAACAAGCTTAGGGACTTTGGGCAAATTTCTTAAACTCTCATTTGTAAAGGAACAATCTTTGATGATTTCTAAAGCCCCCCTCTAGCCCTACTAATTTTAAATTGTTGAACATTTTTCCTTAAGTCATTGATTAGTTCATTTGTCTATTTGAATACCTTCAATGAACATACTAAAAGAAGCAAATTTAATAGCTCTTTTCCTCAAGGAATTGATAAACCAGTGGGAAAGGTGAGAGGTTTATCCATACAGTAGTATTAGAGACAAAGAGATGCTTGTTTGTCCTTTCAGGTTCTAAACAAGTCACAAGGATCCTAAAAAGAAAAGAGCAGGGAAAATAGTACAAAAAACTCCAGAGAAGCAATTAGGAGAAACAGAGGTAATTTATTGTTTCAGTCCACAAATGCGTATTGAGTGGCCACTGTGTGCCACGCACTGTGATGGGTACTGGAGATCCTGGATTGGTAATTCAGCCAGGCTAGGTTATTTACAGTCTGGTGGTGAGAAAGAACAGGTGAACAAAGAAATGCAATTCTGATTGAGGAAATTATGTGAAGGAAAGTATAATAAAAGTAAGAGAGAATAATTTTTTGTGAATGGAATGGACCACCAGTAGTAAAGAGCAGAAGGGGGAAGGTCTTTGGATCCAGGGACAGTTGACAGAGGTCAAACCAGTGGCAGATGACAATAAGGACAGTCAATATAGGGGCTAACGGGATCCAAACAGAGGAGCAGATTAATGCTGAGGCTGAAAAGTGCTGGTTCAAAAGGCCATCTGTATGGTTGGAACTTAAAATGCAGTTACTTTTTGGAAAGTATAGGATCAAAACAGCACTCTACTGGAAATGATTTTGCCCCTCAGGGGGTATTTGGCAAAGTATGGAGACAGGTTTTTTATTTCGATTTTTGGACAGCTGACAGTACTGGGGGAAGAACCCAGAGCCTTACATGTGCTAGGCAAGCACCGTACTACTGAGCTACATCCTCAATCCTCGGAGACAGTTTTGAGAGTTTTGCTTGTTCCGACTCAGGCTGGGGCAGGGTGGAGGTGGAGTCTACAGCATTATTCCTGAAGCTGAGGAAACCTGCACTAAAGGAGTTTTCAGCCCAAATCATGGTTTTAATCATTATATTCTAATCTTGTGTTTTCACTACTTTGAATTTTTTAGTTCCTCTTGCAGGAACTAAAGAACAGGTGTCAAGTGGGCTATTCTTTCACCCACTCTCCTGAAATTCCACTGGAGAGGTTCAGAGGCCTTCAGGAACCTTTGTCTTTTTTTTTTTTTCTTTTTTCTTTTCTGTCTTTTTGAGACAGGGTCTCGCTATGCGGTTCAGGCTGGCCTTGAGCTCACTTTGTAGCCCAGGCTGGTCTCGAACTCGCAACGATCCTCCTGCCTCAGCCTCCTCAGCGCTGGGATTACAGGCATGAGCCACCACGCCCGGCTCTTCAGGAACCTTTCAAAAGCTCCACAAGGCACAAAATCTGTACTCGGGCACATAGGAAGGAATCGAGGCACACACCAGGCTACTCCCTGGGTTTATCTCTACGAAAAGACTAAGTCGGGGAACTGGAAGGAGAATATATTCATGTTTCTGGTGTACAATGACACGTTAATGTCAGAAATACTTAGTGGGTCCATTAGTATGGGAGAGGTGGGAGGTGCCCCGACGGCCTGGAAAGCTCCGCCCTCTGCACCGCGAACTCGCGCGTCCGGTGACCCCGGGGCCGTGAGGTTCTAGCCATCCCCGCCCCCCGCGGGCCCAGTCCTCCCCGAGACCCACCTGGTCCACCTTAGCCCCACGGGTCTTCGGGAGCTCACCTCGGCCGGCAAAAGCCTCCTGGGGAAGCCCACGAACAGGCTGCATCCTATAAGCCGGCCAGGCAGGGCCGCCCCTGGCAGAAGGCCCCATCCGAGTCGGTGTGCAGCTTCGCGTCCCCCACTTCCCAAGGCGCCGCGAGCCCCCGCACGCGTCCCTCAGGCCCCGGGCGCGCAGCAGGAACCCTCGCCGGGGCGGGAGAGACGCGGCGCCGGAGGTCTGAGGGAGGCGCACTGGGAGCCGGCAGGCCCGGGGTCAACCGACTGCGGCCCCTGCTTTGCATATTCATGAGTCTGAGCGAGGCCAGCCGCCGGGCTAGCCTGGGAGACGTAATGAATTATTCATAGGGAAGCATTTGGCCCCGCCCAGGAAGGGCTCCTTGATTATTCATTAGCCCGCGGGAGTGCGTCGCTGCCAAAAAAGTCGGTTAGGTCCGGATGAGGACGAGGCGTCGACCAGGCGAGGTGAGCGCGGCCTAGAGGCGAGATCTCTGGGGGAAGGGACGCTCGCGTGTTGTTCGTTCTTTGGTCTTCAGGTCAAAAGTTATGTTTTTTTTGTCTTTTTGCTTGACACTTTAAGATTGGTTTGTAAGTGTTTTTGCCAGGGTCAAAAGTATTGTGAGGAAAAGGGAAAACGTCGAGGCTGAGAAAGACCAGGGGAAGGCTCGAGATACGTTATGCCCCCCAACCTCGCGCCTTTCCAATTTTACACATACCAACCAACAAAACAGAACAAAAGCTAGGTAGTTTTAAAGTTTAGTTTTGAGGAAATGGAGGAAAAATAGCAGCAGCTATGATTAGCTGCCAGGTGGTTTGTCAGGCCGACACCTGTGTCTGCAAAGAGTTGTATGTGGAGATTTTGGGGTTTATATTACCTGGCTCGGATTTTCTCTAGCCCCTGACATATTCTGCCATAATCAATCTTGTCTTACAGACAAGAGAGGAGGCCCTGAGTCCCCCTGGGATGATATGGGCTCCTCTTCTACCTTATTAAGGATTCGCCATTTAATCTCTGTAGACTTTAATTCTCCAAATATTACGGGGCAGGGACTGGAGATTAACCAGTCCCCATAAAGTGTTCAACCATTGGACAAGCTGTGCCCTATGTCTTTTGCTCACTTGGTGAAAATGAAGTAAGGGCATGGTTCTTGCCGATACATGGGTTTTTAATCTCGTTACGATGATAATCTAATTTCTTCCCCATTGGACCGTAAATCTCTTGAAATGGAAATCAAATTTTATCTTTTATAATCCTGCACAATGCCTGGCACATCATAGTTGCCTGGTAAATGTTGAATGAATGAATCACTGAATTATCATGAAAAAGATATTTAAAAGTCAAAAGAGCATGAACAAATACCCAATTAATACACTAGAAGCCACTTGCCCTGAGTGAGCACAGAGCAGTGGAATTATCTGGGCCAAATGGAATTTGTTAAAACAGTGAATAATAATTTATTGAAACAAGCTCTGTGAAAGGTTTAAGTAACAAGGGAACTCTGGTAGATGAAATCCCTTGCTGAGCTTCACTTTCCTTTTCTTTATAGTTCTATGTTTTACATTTAAATCTGTGATCCATTATGAATTAATATTTATATGGCATATCGTGTAGGTTGAGATTTTTTTTTTCTCTTTTCCTTTTTCTCTGCCTCTTTTCCCCTTCCCTTTCTCTCATTGCAGTACCACTTGTTGAAAAGACTGATCTTCCCCTGAACTGGCTTTCCTTTTTTTTTGTCTTTTTTTTTTCGTTTTTATCGGTACCGGGGATCGAACTCATGGCTCCCTGCTTGCAAGGCAGGTGCTTATGCCGCTGAGCTAAATTCCCAGCCCCTCCTTTTTTTTTTTTTTTTAAATGAAGGGATTAAATTAGCAATAGAGAATATCTTTCCCCCCTTCCGAAACCTTCTCCCCCATTCTGAATCTTTTGAACCCACCTACGTTGACATGCACTGTCTTTGAGTAGTCGTTTTTTCCTAGGAAAATCATCTAGCTGCATTTCAGAATCCAGCTATTGGACATTATTCACTTGATAAAAATGAAATTTCTTGTAAAAAGTATGATTTTGGAAGGTTTGAAAAGATAGGTAGGAAACTATAGTAATTCAAAAACTATTATCTTGGACCAACAGATTTTGGCTTTTGCTTCACTTGGCATCAACCCCCCACCCCCACCCCGCCCCCGGCCCCATAGAAAAGGTAGTTTAGGTTTTAAGAAAACAGCACCCAGTTAATCTTTATCTGAATCTTGGATTCATACATAGAAACAGTTTAAAAAAAAAAGTAGAACATTTGATGTGTAAATCAAGAGATACGCGTGGAGTGAATTTTTTTCAGAAAAACATGGAAATCTTGCCTCTTTTCAGAAAGATCATAATCCTTGTCACAGTGTCACAGAGAGGACAAACCAAACATAAGAGTGAATGATATTGATGCCCTCTGAAGTTTCAGGTGTTTGCAGATTAGATATACAAGTAAATGTATATGCAAAAGACATTTGAAAGTGAGTTTTAGTCTAAAAACCTATACTTATGAAAGCTCTTCTAGGTTTTAGATTTTTTTTTTTTTTATCAGTACCAGGGATCGAACTCACGACTGCCTGCTTGCAAGGCAGGCGCTTATGCTGCTGAGCTAAATCCACAGCCCCTAGGTTTTAGATTTTGAATCAGGACAAACTGATAGGAAAAAAAAAAAAAATCAAAGCTATTCTTTGAGAGAGTGTATGATCTTTGGAGTCATTTCTCCTGGGGCTATCTATCAGGCTATCACCTGGTGAGTTTTCAAAATTAAGCAGGGTTTGTACTTAGGAGACCTCCTCAAAACACTTGCTCAAAGGGAAAAACAACAGTAGCAACAAAATAGATGCTGAAATGAGCCTTGTTATTTTGAAAAAAACATTTGAGACTTTTTTACCTTCTTAAAGCAAGCTGGATCTAAAACACCAGAAAAGATTCTACCATAGTTAGGAACAAGCAAAAAAGTCAGTCCAACAACTGGGGAGGCACTTGTAGGGCATCATGTTAGATAAGTCAAAAGGACATTTTATTTTGGAGAGTTAGTCTAGAAAAACTGTTGCACTGTGAGTTAAACTTACATTTTAAAGTCTCAATTCTATTGCTAAGTGGCTGGCTGACCCTGGGTAAATCAGTGTTTTCTCTGTTTTATTTTCTGGGCTAGTAAATCAGCCATTTGGACTAGATGACATTTAAAGTTCCTGTTTCCTCTAAATTTTTGTGATTCTTTTCTAGATCCTTAATTCTTCTTGGTTTCTATAGTACTTCTCCATTGATTCAGCAAATAATTATTGAGCACCTATTTTATTCCAGTACTGTGATGATGCTGAGGATTCAAGATTGAGCTAAACAAGAAATAAAAAAGGCATATATTATATGGTTCAATTTCTACAAGCATCCAAAATAAGCAAATCCATGGATATGAAAAGTAGGTTTGTGGTTGCCAAGGGCTGAGAGGAGAGAATGGGAGTGAATGCTAATGGGCATAGGCTGTTTTTTTTTTTTTTTTTTTTTGAGGTGATAAAAATGTTCTGCAATTAGAGATTGGTAATAGTTACATGCCTTTGTGAATACACTAAAATCTGAATTGCACCTAAAGAAACTTTTGCTAACCAGATACACCTTTGCTTTAGGTTAGGTTATAGTGGGTAGTTGGACACATAAAGGCAACTTTGATACAGTATATATTGAAATAGGCACATATCTGGATTTGGTAGTGGTGATAGTAGAAACTGGAAAATCATTTCTTGAGAAAATCATACAAAGTCATGTCCAGGGGATGAGTAGCAATAAGGGATAAAAGAACGTATTTAGACAGAGGGAATATTGCCAAAATCTGAAAGCCCAGGGAATATAATCCTTTGGGGTAATTAAACTAGATGAGAATAGCTAGTGCATAAAATTGGAAAAGGAAAATGATTAGAGATGAGGCTAGGGAGGTATGAGCCAACTTTTGAAGCTATGGTAAGGAATCTGGCTTTTATTCTGAGGGCAGTGGGGAGCCACTGAAGTATTTCAGTATGGGGAATAATACATAATTAAGTTTGTAATTTAAAAAGAAAGCTCTGGCTGCAACACAAGAATAGAGAAGGGTAAGACCAGTGGCAGGCAAATTGGTGATTGCAGTAGTCCAGACAAAAGATGTGGCTGATGTAATCTAAAGCAGAGAAAACAGCAGTGTGGACAAAGTAAGAAGTGGACACACATTTGAGAAATAGTAAGGTAATTGGATAGAGAAATAAAGAAGAGGGAGGTCAGGGTTTTCGTATGTTGTAGGCCTGAGCAATTAGTGTTTCATGATGCTATTTGCTTATTTAATGAACAGATAAAGGTATTTGAGGAAAAGAATTCACATTTGGATGTATTAAGGACATCAAACTGGAACTGTCTAATGGACAATTAGAGATATGTGTCAGCAACTCTCCAGAATAATTTGGGCTGCAGAGAAAGGTAGATAGATAGGTAGGCAGACACAGACAGACAGACAGACAGATGGTTAAATATCTCTAGAATAGAAATAATAGTTGAAACCTTGGGAGTATACTTTTAGTCCTGGAAGTGTGTTTAAACATTTAAAAAAAAGAGCTTTTAGGACGGAATCCTGAATAACACTAAAATGGCAGGGCGAAAAAAAAAAAAAAAAAAAAAGACAGAAGAAAAGAGGCCTGAAAAGCTGTGTGAAGAAGCACCTGGGAGACTAGAGGAAAATCAGGAGATTGAACATTAATATAAGATTTTCATTTCTGTGTATTTGTTTATAAGGTACTGGGAATTGAACTGAGGCTTTTGCATTGAACTACCACAGCCTTTAATATTTTTTTCCTTTTTTTTTTGTACTAAGGATCGAATTCATAACTTCACACTTGCCAGGCAGGTGCTTATGCCACTGAGCTAAATCCTTGGCCCAATTTTTTTTTTTCAAATTTTAAAACAGTATCTCACTAAGTTGTTAATTAGCCAGACTGGGCTTTAAACCTGCAGTCCTCCTGCCTCATCCTCTCAGAATGCTAGAATTACATACTCAACTAATATTTTTTAAAAGCAAACATGCTTTATTATATATCATGAAACATATATTAGAAAATATAACTCATTTAATCCTTGAAATAACCTTACGGAAGTGGTACAATTATCGTCTCTATTTTGTAAATGGGGAAACTAAGTCACATGACTTGTACAAGGTCCTATCAAAAGTGAACTGCAGATTGTCATGTCATCCTAGGCATTTTAGCTTCAGAGAGTTTAGTGCTTTACTACTATGCTATGCTACCTTTCCAGATAAACACATGCTTGAATAAACGCTGAACAAAAAAGCACTGAGCAACCCGAAAAGTGGTTGGTTCAAAGCTGGATCTGCCTTCATTTTGCCACAACAAAAGTGAGTCCCAGGAAAATAATTTGGCCAAAGTCACACAACTGCTAGATAGTGGTATCAGAATTTGAACACAGTTACCTTAATTTCAAAGCCTCTTTCTACTAGATTATATTGTGATTATTTTTCTCTGAATACATTTATATGAATAAAATTTAATTTTACTTATTTTACAAATATTAGTTCCTAGAGGATTTACCAAATGCTATAGAACCTACCTTGAATCCTTTCTCAAAAGTAAATACCTTGGATGTCTCAGAGTTTTCAGTGATAATCAACTTAACCCAGGCCATTCATCCATTCTAAAAATATAGGTGTAGTAATACCTTGTGTTCTAATTGACCTATGTTATTTTCCGGGCTTGATTCTCTAGACATGCCATCAGGATATCTTATGATCATAGAGAAACAACAACAAAAAACCCCACTAACGTAGAAAGCTATTTAAAAATCATTATTTCCCTATTTATTGTCTCCCAAACTAATAACTACCACAGTAGGAGTTCATGGTTTAATGGTCTAGAACTAGAGCTTGAACTCTTATAGCTATTTGTCCCCCTTCATTTTATCCTTGCAATTTAAAGGAGACAACAAAACTGTTGTCAGATGTGAAGGTTATTCTCGGAAATCAAAAAAGATATTTTGGAATCTTTAAGGACTAGGGAACAATTTTAGTTTTTCAGTCTCATATACAGTATCTGTAGTGTCCCCTAGTGCTGCTCTGAGGAAGTAATTTGAGGGAAATTAAATATTACTTGTTTATAATCTCTATCACCACCTTGTGGCCGTGTCCTCAAGTAATTTTGCCCTCTTTTATTGACAAAAATCTTCCAAAAACTTGCATTACTAGTTAACAACAGGTCATAGGCTATCCTGCAAATTCCATTAAGAATGGAGTTTCTTTAAATAGATTCTTTTATAAGTATTTTGGTAAGAATTTTGTAAAATCTTGAAAAGAAGCCCCAACTGAAATTAAGGCCTTTAAAAAGAAAAAGGAAGAGCCAGGCATGGTGGCTCATGCCTGTAATCCCAGGACTTGGGAGGCTGAGGCAGGAGGATCCTTGGGAGTTGGAGACCAGCCTGGGCTACAATGTGAACTCAAGGCCAACCTGAACTGCATAGAGAGATCCTGTCTCAAAAAGACAAAAAACAAAAACAAAAAAAAAAAGGAAGGTTTTTTTGCGACAAAGTCTCACTATGTAGTTCAGATTAAATTTGAACTCACTGTGTAGCCCAGACTAGCTTTGACTTCATTGGTAATCTTGCCTCATCCTCCTGATTGCTGAGATTACAAGAACATTTTGTCTTATTTTGTTGCATTTTTAAGTGTGTCAAACTGTATGTAACATAAAACTCATCACTTCAGCTATTCTCAAGTATACAATGTAATTTAGTAGTTCCAAAAACATTCACAATGTTGCACAACCATTACCATTATACATTTTTCAAAACTTTTTCAGTATTTCAGACAGAAATTGCATGCATTAAATTCCCCATTCCTTCTACCCCTCCACTCTCTGATAACCTTTATACTATTTTTTGTCTCTATGAATTTGCCTACTACAAGTACCTCATATGTGCAATCCTACATTTATCCTTTTATATTTGACTTTTTTTCATTTAGCGCAGTAGTATTTTCATGGTTAATTGCCATTATAATAGCTATCAAAATTCCATCCTAAAAACTGGATAATATTCCTTTGTACATACCACATTTTGTTTACTCATTCATCTACTTTTTTTGAGACTGAAGCTGTCCTTGAACTTCTAGACTTAAGTGATTCTTTTGCCTCAGCCTCCCAAGTAGCTGGCTCTACAGTACCCAGCTATTTAAACATTCACCTGTTGGTAGACATTTGGGATGCTTCCATGTCTTGATTATTGTGAATAATGCTGCAATAAACATTAGTGTATGAGTATCTGAGACCTTGTTTTCAATATTTTGTGGCTATATACTTAGAGTTGGAATTTCTGGGTACTGTGGTAATTCTGTTTAGCTTTTAGAGGAAGTGTCATACTATTTTCCGCAATGCTGGATTATTTTATATTGCCCCTGACAGTGGATAATGGTTTTAATTTTTTCACATCTTCTGTTTGTTTGTTTGTATGTTTGTCTGAGACAGGCTCTCGCTGTGTAGTTCAGGCCAACCTTGAACTCGTTGTATATCCCCGGCTGATCTCCCACTCACAGCAACCCTTCTGCCCCAACCTCTTGGGTGCTGTGATTACAGTTGCATTCCATCATGCCCAGCTTCCACATTTTCTTGAACACTTATTCTTTTGCATTTTTTTGAAATGGTCGTTCTAATAAGTATGAACTGTTTTTGAATTTGCAAATAATTTATACTTGAACCAAATTCAGGAAATGCTTTGAGCCCCTGCTATATAGAGTACTGTTATACTCTGGAGGAATAACAAAGATGAGTGAGATATACTGTTGAATCTTTAGGTGACTTGTAATTTGTATTTCTCTCCCTAGTATATTTATGAACGAGCAAATGATCTTACAGTTTTCATTGGCTGGTTGAAAAAATTAACTCAGGGACCTTATGCCAGATATATAGGAAATTGGAAGTGGAGATTAAAATGTTTATTAAACTTATCTACCAAAATTTACAGTCAGCTCACATTGTTCTCATTTGGAAAATTCACATGAAGGATTTTTCCAACTCATTTTATAGTTTAGATAGGACATGGTAGGACTATTTCAGTGTGTTCTTCCTTTGTGTTGTCAAAATTGAGCTTGGTAAATTTTTCTTTAAATTAAACAATCTGGGGAACAATTCATACTCAGTCTTTGATTTTAGTTTCTCTTTTGTTTTTAGAAGCTTTAGCTTCACCTTTGTGCATAATAAGATAAGAGGTACAATATTAGGCAAGACCTTTGATTAATTTTTTCTCCACAGGTTATATTTGTTGAAAGAATCCCACAATGTCTACTTCTCAGCTTTGCCGCTCCATCAGAAAACAAAAGGTATCTAAGGTATTTGTTAAGAATTAAAAGAAAATCAATGACCATTTAGTGAATTACTTCATAATCATGACTAATTTTTTTAGCAGTCTTATCAGATAATTGGCACATAATATTCTTGGAAAGTGTGTTTCTACAATTTAACTGCCTAGTGGAATGAGGATATCAGAAAATTAAAATAAATTACAAAGTTGTTTGTTTCATGTCTATATATTTAGACCTTCTAGAGTAAAAGAAATTATAAATAAAAAGACAAAGAAAATGATTCTCTGTCATATCTTTCTTTCGTGAAGCAATTAGAAAACTTGTGTTTACATGGTGATATAATTATAGAATCTAAAGGGGTATTAGGGCTTAGGTTTAGATGTCTTCGAAAGCCTCATGCTATCATAGGTGGGGCTTTTTCAACTGTGGCTGGATCTAGGATGTGTGATTGATTTGTGGTGCAATGTAGGATTAAGGGTGGGTGATTACTACATTGTGGTGCAATGTAGGATTAAGGGTGGGTGATTACTGATTAGTAATCCTTATAGCAGATAGAATCTCTAATCCTTATAGCAGATAGAATATAAAAGGGGAAGAAAAAAGCTACTAAGGTCCCTAGTTTGCTTGCTTTACTGTCTTCTGCCTGCCATGATCTGTTTCTCTTCTGCGATTCCTGTCTGCCATGCCACCTTCCCTTAAAGCCAGCCAGTTATAGATTGAAACCTCTACAAACTGTAAGCTAAATAAACCTTTCCTCTGTTAACTTGTGGGTGTTGGCTATTTTGTCTCAGCAACAAGAAAAGTTAACTAACACTTTTCTTGGAAAACACTGAGAAACTTGAATGCTAGGAGCTTGGGGGAGTGTTAGCATTCTTTGACTGTGACATAATTCTTGAGACAATCAATTTAAAAGAAGGAAGAATTTATTTTGGCTCATAGTTTCAGAGGTTTCAGTCCATAGTTGGTTGGCTACACTGTATTGAGGTCTATTGCTGAACAGAATATCATGGCAGGATATCTTATTTTCTTCTTGTTGAGACATAATACCCAACACCCCCAACTTAAAAGAGAAAATGTTTATATTGACTCACAGTAGGAAGGGCTGCTGAACAGGAAGGCAGCTCCACCTCATGGTGACTGGGAAGCAGATAATTTAAGAGAGGAGTCAGGAAGGAAAATATAATCTCCCAGGTCATTCCCACAGCCTCTCACCTCTTCCAACAAGACCCTACCTCCTGTAGCAATTCAGTACTTTTGAAAAGCCCCAGATATAAGCATATGAAGCCTTGAGGGGACACAGGGAATGTGTAGTAAAAGAAAGGTGATCACTTCATTTCAGCTGGGAAGCAGGAAGAAAGAAAGAAAGGGACAGGGTCCCAATATCCACTTTAACCACACTCCCCTAGCAACCTTATTTCCTTCTAGTAGACCCCACCTTCTAAAGTTGCAAAACCTCCCAAAAGTGCTGTGATGATCGACACTTAAGATCTAAACCATAACAGGGAGAATGCTAGAGCCAGGCAGTTTTGTTGAATTCACCCAGGTAACTTTAGCTAGTCCTAGATTTTGTTTATTCATTGAGATACAATATTTATATAATAAGTATGTGTCTTAGTTACTTTTCTCCTTGCTGAGACAAAATATCCAACACCCAAGTTAAGAGAAGAAAGGTTTCTTTAGCATACAGTTTGTAGCTGTTCTGGTCCATAATTTGTTTACTCCAAGGCAGAATGGCACATTGCAGAAGGACAACCATTCATAGCAGTGGAAGACAGCAAAAGCAACAAGAGAAAGAAGGGACAAGCCTCCTTCTGTCCCTTACATTGTATGCAAGCCACCCACCCTAGACAGGTGTAGCACTCACACTTTTTTTTTTTTTTTTTTTTTGTCGGTACTGGGGAGCGAACTCATGACCCTGTACTTGCAAGGCAAACGCTTAAGCACAGCTGCTCCCACCATGACTGCGTGAAGATTTAGGGAGACATCTAGACACAAACTATGACAGTATATAATACTGTGTTATTTTCTGTGGTAATATTTAGAATGACCTTCATCTTCTAGACATTTATAATGTAGTTAGGAAATAAGATTTATAGGAGTTAGCCAAATGTGGTGGTGCACACCTGTTATCCCAAGCAACTGGGAGACTGAGGCAGGAGGATCACTATGAGTTTGAGGCCACCCTGGGCTACAAGATGAGACCCTGTATCAAAACACCAAACCAAACCAAACAAAAACAGAAACAAGATGCATAGGAGTTAAGTCACTTATATTTTCATATATGTGAAAAAGAGTATGACAACTCAAATTGTAGGAATTTAGAGATTTAGTATATATTGCAATAATTTGTGTATTTCTCATGAAGAAAGTGTGCTCATACTAGACCCTAAATGATGAAACAGCAAAAAATGATGAAATTATTTCTCCTTTGTCTAAAAGACAAGTTCTGAATAGAGGATAGACTTCATGAGGGCAACCTAGCATATACCTTGGCAGAGATAAGAAACAAGAATGGCATATTTCAGAGAATAACAAAGAACCCCGCCTTACTAGATGAAGAGCTCATCGTGTTGGACAGAAGGAAATAAAATTGGATAAGAATTTGAGGAACAGATTAATGTGGACCTTAAGAGCTAAGCTAAGAAATTTATCCTTTATTCTGTAGTTAATGAAAAGTTAGAGGGTTTGATCAGAACAGTAAGTAAAATAATTGTTTTAGGGATATTAAATCATACTAGATAGTAAAGAGTGAAGTTGAAGGAGAAATAGGGCAGAGAGAAAGCAGTCATCTTTCTAGTTTGATTTCAGTATGCTGTACTCACAAAGCAGATTCTTGATCTCATTTGGTTTCCTAAGTGTACTTCCTTCCTGGGAGAAAATGATGAGCTGGATATATGAATTCCAATCAGCGTGACAGTTATTTTTCTCATTATAAATTAACAAACTGACCTTTTGATGCAACCAAATCTTTGTTGTTTGAACTATATGACCTACCTTTCCCAGTAAATTTTAAGTGACTATGTGATTCTGTTATTTAGTACTAAAAACAATAGTAATTATGGAAGCCAACATTTATTCAGCACTTAACTATGTTCCAGGCATTGTGCCAAGGGCTTTATGTTATTATTTCCATTAAACTTTGCAACAAGGAAGAGACCAAAGCTCAGAGAAGTAAAATAACTTGCTCAAGGTCACTTAAATTGATAGCTAAACTGTTAAACATCAAAAGGCACTAGCAAAATATATTGTTGAAATAATTTTATAATACTGCTTTCAATTTCAAGCTATAGAATTTTATTATTAACATTTATAAAACATCAATGATAACCCTTAACATATTAGACCAGCTGAGCTAAGGAAAAAAAATCCCCAAAATAACAAAATGTTAGAGGTCTTTCCCAACTTTATTACTATAAGTGACCATTTGCATATTATATTTAAAGTAAATTGTCTTTATACTTTCAAGTTATTTACTCTTCCAACTGAGTTATACAAGTATTGGCACCATGTTTTGAAATGTTTTCAATAAGAAACTACATGCATACCATGAGAACTATTTCCCAATTATCCCAAATAAACTTAATTTCTTAAGATTTATAGTAATTTTTTCAAAAAGCAATGTTTTTTGAGAGAGGATCTTGCTATATATTCCAAATTGGCCTTGAACTCACTGTATACCCCAGACTGGCCCTGAACCTGAGCAGATTCTTCTTCCTCAGCTTCCTAAGTACTGAGAATATAGGCATGCACTACCGTACTTGGCTCAAAAGGCATTTTTTTTTCAAAAATTTATATGAATATGCAATATATTAACCATCGTTAATTTTCTGTTATCTTGTTTTGAAATTATGTATCATTGCTTTTATTGTTTTTCCCTCTTTAAAAAAAATTACATGCATATACTCAAATACATCATATGTGCAAGAGTAATACAATTATTATATACACTTTTTTTTTTTGTCTTTTTCCTTTTTATCGGTACCGGGGATCGAACTCACGATTGCCTGCATTCAAGGCAGGCACTTATGCCGCTGAGCTAAACCCCCAGCCCCCTACACTTTCTTTTTTTATATACATTTTCAAGAATTGAGTATAATTGAGCATGGGTAGTAGCACACATCTATAATTCTAGCACTCAGGATCCTGAGGCAGGAGAATGAGTTTGGGGCCAACCAGAACAACATAGGAAGACCCTTTCTCAAAGAACAAATGACAACAATAACAAAAAACCTTGAATATAAGATTTACCAAAAAGATAAAGTGATAATTCATTGCCACTATATAGTGTACCAAAAAAGAGGCATTTGTGGATAGCATAATCATGCCCAGAATGTCTAAAAGAATTTTAGAACTAGATCTACAGATACAGAATTGCTATTTGGAAGTGATTTTTCATTTAAAGATAATTTTGTTGTTAGTACTTGCCTCTAAGTAGCAGAATTATTAAAACTTCAGCAGTTGTAACTGTAGTGCAGTAAAAGACCCATGTTGCTTGCTGTTTCTGTAATCTGCCAAATTACTTACGTTTCTTTTTATAAGTTTATTGTTTTAGGTAAGTTCTAAAGTCTCCAATTTTAATATACTGCACAAACCTTTAGAAGGAATTTAGATTTGCTCTAAATCAAACCATGTAACCATCTCAGCTTTAATCTGAAGAGAAAGGGTTCTCTGTTATTAAGGCACTGACTGTGAATATTAAAATAATTCCAGTTAGGACAGCCTCAATGCAATTGTAACAGTTAAAGCTTATTCTTTTGCTAAGGTTTGGAATCCCCAGACCCTAACAAAATTTCATCATTTGGAGTTTACTTGAAATAAAAGTTTTTAAGTATTTCTTGGTTTTAAAAAGAACATCAGATTTTGAAGACTAATACTTTGTTGCACATATAAAACACTTCCTAAAAACAAAAAACAAAAAGCACTTTCTAGACCTGATCCTAGAGCTGGAGTCTGGAGTTTTTGTTTCTCTTTCTCTCTCCTTTTTTTTTTTGTCTTTTTCATTTTTATCAGTACCAGGGATCGAACTC